AAATGTATGTTTTTGTGTTTACACGTTAAAAGAAAATTTAAGAGTAAATTTTCTTGAACTTAATCTTTTAAACAATTCCATAATATTTGAAAGTCCAACGAGAAAGCCATGTAATCGCAAGAGGCAACCCTCCTTCACTCCAACCTGTCACCCACACTCATAATCAAACGTCGTACCCCACAATTGAAAAACTTCTTTTATCTTATTATTGTTATTGTTGTATTTTATTATTACTATTATTATTATTTTATTTATTTATTATTTCATTATTATTATTATTATTTGTATTATCTATTTTTATTTTATTATTATTATTTTATTATTTTATTATTTTATATATAATATAAAAAAAATCAAAATCCTTTCATATATAAGAATCAAGAATTCATTCTATATTTTTTGAAATTATGTGCATTTTAAATTAAGTTTTGTCCATTTGTTTTCGTTGTGGATTCTTATTTCATTAATGATTATTATTATTTTATTTTATTATATAGTATAAAAAAAGTTGATTCATATATATTATTAAGAACTGAAATTTAAATCTAATTTAATTATTTCAAAGTGATTTTGTCATTAGTAAATTTAAAAATTTTAATATATTTTTTCATACCAAGTATATATATATATATATATATATATATATATATATATATATATATCTTGTGAAGACTAATTATTTATAAATGGTCATGTAGCAACTAGACAAAAGTTGAAAAAATATCTCTTCTAAACAATAAATTTTATTACCATGGTTATGATATAAAGAAGTAATCTTTAAATTTAATTTAATCATATAAAATTGATTTATAAGAAGTTATCTTTAAACTTAATTTAATCATATAAAATTAACTAAACTTATCATTAATTAGATGTGAAATTTCAATATATATTATGTACATTAAAAAAAATCGATTCTTTAATGTTAAGTTTTGTCCATAATTTGTTTTGGTTGTGCATTCTTATTTCATTAATATATATTTTAATGGTATCAGTGAACAATAGCAGTTACACTAAGTAAGCACACAATATAATTACACAACTTTTGTGTCAATTTATACAATATGAGTTGTCTTTCTCTTCTCGTCTTCTCACCTCATCAAAGAACATCTCTTCACTCTTTGAAATTTGCACTCTCAATTTTACTCAAATAATTAGAAATAAATGAATGAAAGATTCACCGGCTCTTCCATTTTCGTTAATAGTGTTTTAGTGAAAACAACCACAAGCTTTTTTTATCATTCTTTTTCTTCTCGTTTTTTTTCATTCTACTTTGTTCCCTTCTTTTTGTACCTCTATTTTTATCTTCATGCACCTTATAATTTTCAATATCCCCATTTTACCCTTAAAGAAGTTTTAATAAAATGTGTTGCACCTCTCTCTTTTTTCTCCTTTCTCCTTTAGCACATCAATCCTCTCCTTTCTCAACCCTTACCTTCCTTACAATGAACAAACTCTTGCTTTCCAAGAGGGCACAAATCTTTCTCAATCTTTACCCATTAACATTCCACACATTCCCATTCTTTCCTTACATATTAATCATTCATCCTTAGATAGGAAAAACACACAGAAAACAAGAGTCATTGCTCCTTCAAGTTTCCTCACCCGTACCTACTTCGAACTTTGCATCTCTGACCAGATAAACACAGAAAACAATAGACAATATGAGGAAGACATATTTGTATCTTTTCCCTGGTAAATACAATTTTCAAAAAATAAAATTTTTGAGTTCGAGAGAATTTAAGACTCAGGAAAAAAAATAAAAGAAGGGTGGTATGAGCGTGAACGTCATTATTTAAATCAATAAATAACAAATTATTCTGAAGTAAATCATAACACAGTTGGTTAAAGCTCTTTGTGATGGATTGAAGGACATGTGTTCGATTTCTTTTGTATGCGATTTATATTTTTATTATTTTTTGACGTGATTGTGTGTGTGATGATTGTTTGTAGTGTTTGTTGTGTATATGAATAACAAGATAAATGTGATAGTCTGTTTAGTTTAGAGTGTTTATTTGAAACTTGGAGGTGGTGAGTTCGAGCTTTGGTTAGAATAAAAGTATATTAACTTTTTAGTGTTTTGTTGTATTATGAAAGACGAAGAGCTGGAAGAAAATTCATTATATCTTGCAAAATGGTTTTTTAACTAAGATAGCTTAGACACAGGAAGAAATGTGATAAATTTTGTGGTGTAGTCCTTGAGTAGAGTGGTGAGAAAACTTGTTTTTCTCTTCTCCTTTGATTACACGAACAACTAAAATAGTGGTAAGCAACTTTACAACACAATATTTTTTCAAAAATAGTGGTGAAATTCAATGTAACAGTATCCAATAAAACAGTAAATTAAAATAGAAAAAAAATTAGTTAGCTCTTTTTATGACTAATTACATATTTGTACAATGATAAATCTGATTTAAACAAAGATTTCTTGGTTCAAATCATTATAATGATGCCAAAAACTTGTTCACAATGGACAAGTTTTTGTCCATGAATAGTTGTCTAACCTTCTATTGTTGTTCATGAATACACCTCTTTCCCTTTATAAGTCTATAATACAGACCATTTTCATGATAATTTGAACTGAAATAACATTTCATCACTTGTTGCGCCAAGCCTTGATTTTTGTGGATCAAGATGAATTTTTCGTCATTTGCTTGTTTAGCTCGTCCATCTGCAATGAAATGATTTTGTTTAGGGCTAAGATCACATCTTAAGTTCCAAACTCCAAAATTCCCTTTTTAAATAGTTAACTCGTGTCATGTTGAGTTTGGTGGTCATTGGTTGCCAATGATTCAATGATTACAGTTGGGGAGTCTACTAATTCTTCGTGTCATGTCCCTATTGTATAACTTTAAAGGAAACCATCACATATAAGGTATTCCTTAATTTTAGTTGCATTCAACTTTTTCTTATTCAAACAGTTGACACAAGGATATTTAAACTTAACTTCATTACCACTTCTACCCTCATTACATTATGCAAATTGTATTAATTTTTCTACTCTTATACGATACTCATCTTTAAATGAATTATCACTTTACTTTTGTATTCAAGGTGTGACCTTATCGCATTAAAGAAAATTCATTTTTTTTTGTTTATTGGTAGATATCAATTTTAAACAACATATCTTAAATTTCATAAATTTTGTCAGCATTTTGCATTGGTTTTTAGGTTACAAAAAATGAAAGTGATTAGTAATCACAATTAAATATGCATCGAAAGATCAATACAAAATACAATTAGTAAATATTCATGATTTTTCACATATGTATATTAAAATATGTATGCACTCATAAACTATGAAAAAGTTATTAGTCTTCTTAAATTATCCAACCGAACAATTCAAGATTCAATATATATAAATTATTAATATTATCTCCTCTTATATTAATTTTTAAAAGTACAATTTCATAAAAAAACTTTGAAACAGTAAATTTTCGTATTGAATCTCAAACGAAAAACTATGGCTAACTCAATGCAACAACAATTTCAAATAAGAAAAATTTAAACATATAATTAATCAATCCTAAATAAATAAACAATTAAACATATCAAACATACAACAATATTAACAACATATTAAAAAAATATAAACTTTTAACCATAAGAACCTCATAACGCTGATGATAGGAACCACAATAATGGAGCCTATTTTGGAAGTAAGGAAATATGACCTACGCAATGCCACCATAATGGAGTACCCTAACATGAATGGTGGCACAACTACAAGAATTAATCAACGGTTGAAGATTGGAACGAGGGTAGAGTGTGAAACTTCTTTGCAACAAAACACTGCAACAAGAAGTTGACGCGAGTGTAAAATTCATAAAATTTAACCTTGAACAAAGGTTTGGGCTTCAATTGTTTATAAAACCGAAGTCTAAACACAAATAGGCTTTGACTTTACAAACAACTAAAACCTAATGCCGTCACTAAAATAAAATATAAAAAATAAAAGTAATATTTTTTAAATTATTTGGAACCTTACAGTGATTCCAAATTCAATTTATAAAAGAATCTAAGCCTAAACGTTCTCAACAATTTAAAAATATCCTTTTGGTTTTATAGACTTTGCTTTTCTTAAAGTCAATACTTATTAAAATCATAGTTTACTAAATTCGAAAGACTAAAATAATTTTCCCTCTTTTCTTTTTAATTTGAATCACTAGAAAGAAATTTATTGCAAATTTCTTGCAGTGAAAACATAATTAATCAAACCTCTAATTTTCTTAATAATAAATATTAAATTTTTATTTTAAAACATACATTTTATTTTAAAATGTTCATTAAAATCACATTTTAAAATCCACTTTCAGTTAATTGTCTCAGTTAAATTATTTTTTTTAAGTTATGATTTTATATTTAAAAAAAGTGGCGATTTAAAAATTCGATTATTTTTAATATTATGATTTATTCATATGCATTATTTTTTAAAGTTCATTGATTTGGTTAAAGTTCCCAACAAATGCTAACATTTAGAAGCTCCCAAAAGCAAATGGTTCTCCACACGACACTACTAAACATTAGTCTCTTGAACCTTAACCTTTAGTCCAGATAAGTTCAAGATCACACACACATACACATAGTTTTCTCTTCTGCTACCTCAAACTCTAAATTAATTTCAGCTTCCCATCTCTTAAGCCAATTCAACCCTAAGCCAAAAAGACTCACAATTTGCATAAAAAGACTTTGTGTTTGTTTTGATTTGTTCAGACAGCAACAAACCAAACTAATCATTACATTAAAACCTGCTTTTAATATACACTCTGCAATCAATATTAAAGATTCTGAGGTGTTTGCAACCAGTGCTATGGCAATTGCACATGCATATACATTAATGTTCTTTGGCAATTTCTCAGAATACCGATTTAAGTTTCAAAGGTTCAACACCTAGACTTGCAACTCAAAACCAAGATCACAACCTATGGTTTTTTAAAACTTAGCATTCGCTTACAACAAAAAATCTGCGTAAACAGTTAGAAACATTAATTTTAGTCTTAAAAAAGCCAAAGTCTTGGATTGTGCTAATTGAAGATGTACATTATAAGAATAAGAGAAAAACGGGGTCAATGAATTCCAGCTAGACCCTCCCTCAAAGATAAGAGAATCCATCAAATAATAGCAAGTTGGCAATAAATGCAGTGCATAAAAACACGTCATCCACTGTTTGCAATGCGCACCAAGATAGAGTCAAGAAATTCCGCGTTTGCTCTTTAGCATAAATAGACAAATTCTGAACACAACACCAAGCACCGAAACTTCTAACTCATTAATTCACTGTTTTGTATCAGAAGAAAACAAAGTCCGACCGAAGATGCTTAGGTTTTTTGTTGGGAGGATACAAAAGGGTCTTTCACTGTTTGTGGCTAGAAGGCCTGCATTCAGCTACTTGAGTGAAGATGGTGCCCCTAATGAGGCACCGGATGATGTTATGGAAGGTTATTTTGCTGTTGTTGCAATGAAGGGTAAGGAAAGAAAAAGGTTCATTGTTGGGTTAGATTTCTTGTCTGATCCTGCATTCTTGGGACTGTTGGATCAAGCTCAAGAAGAGTATGGTTTCCGACACCAGGGAGCTCTTGCACTCCCTTGTCGACCTCAGGAGTTGCAGAAGATTCTAGATGCTCCAAAAGCATAACCACAGATGAAGGAGTGAAAATGGATTGTCATCTTCCCATTGTAGAGAACAACTGCTAGGAAACAAACTCTGTAATAATAATCACTTGTTACTTTGTGTATCTCCAAACATTCTTGTTCTTTCAATGAAACAAGTAAATAACAACTATTATCTTATTCTGGGTAGCTTTAAAACTTTCTGTTTTGCTTTTTCACAAGTCAAATTAACTGATTTGAATCAAGAGGGTAAAAGAAGAAACATGAAAGAGACACACAAAGATGAGGCATCAAAAACATTTGATTTTTATCACATCCAAGCTTTCTCTTGTAGATGCTTTAAATTAATTTTCTAAGTTAGTATTACTTTAGAGTTAAAAGAGAAAACATTCAACTGTGTAGATCAGTTGTCAGAGAGATTATATCCTGTCAGTGTTGGGAGTGTAAGTTTGAAGGAAAAAAAATGTCATGGTAGATGAAAATAGAAAGATTGAGCAGCGTTTTTCTTTTGGTATTGCAGAATAAATGTATTAAAAGAAAAAAGTAACTTGAGATATAACTTTTTGTAGCACCACAGTTTCTGATTCTCTACGGCACTTTTGCTCAGCCAGGTTGTGAGTAAAACGATTATGCTCACAGAAGACATGAACTTCATACTTCATACTTCCATGCAAATTATTATTACCCGTGAACTTTGCAATTGAAAGTCAAGCAATTTCCAAGGCCATTCTCCTGGTGCTGAGAAGAATCATATCTTACTCAAATATTGTTGAGAATCTAAGTATCAATTATTAAGGTCCATTGAACTCGTGTCTTTCCAATAATTTCTCTCTCATAACCCATAAAATATGTTAAGTATCAAAATCACAAGAAAAAAAGAGTTGTACTTCAGCTTCGTAAGCCTACAATACCAGCATTTCTGTTGACACACCAATTCCCCCAAATCACGATAACCTCTAGTAGCACATGAACATAAAATTTCAACAAATCATGACATAGTGGAGTCCAAAATGTCCTGATTCATCCGTTTCTTATCATTTTGAAAATGGGTGTCTTTTCGAATTGAGGAAAATTTAAACAAATGAATATGTGGGTACAATTAATTTTATACCCGAACTTCAAACTACTATAAATATGATGGAAATAATAACAACCAAAAATTCTAAAATATACCGTGAAAATAATTTCTCAAATTTGTAAGAATGTATAAAGAACAACAAAAAGAAATTGATAAAAATAACCTCAATATTTAACATCAATTTTTTTAACATGTGAAAACTCTTTCAAAGTAAGAAGTTAAAACCTACAAGCACAAACCATTAAATCAAGTTCCGCTGAGATCAAATATAGGTATAAAACAGTAAAATTAAAAGCACAAACAAGGGTATATAACAAGTTTAAATTAAAAGGAAGAAGACTTGTGTAGTGGTTAAGGTGAATTGAGAGAAAACTTGTGATCAGTGAAATGAAGGTTTCTATTGTACATTATGAATATATAGCGAGTTTGTAAATCAATGCACTACAAGAAAAATTGATATCATTGACGACTAAAATTCATTGATAATGCATAAAATTTATTGATAAAAGTATTGTTCGTAAATTTTACTAATGGAATTTTGTTTCGTTAGTAATTACCAATGAATTCTTTTGTCTATACCTCTGTCAATAATTATTGATGAAAAAATCTGTCGATAATTACCGGAAAAAAAAATTCATCGATAAAATTCGTCAATAAATATCGCAAAGAAGATGAAGAAGAAATAAATAATGTGTCTCGCGGACAAGGAGACAAAATGGATGGAGAAATTCTTGCTCTTATACCGACAGATTTTTTTGTCAGTAATGCATATTTCATTTACCGACAAATTTAATGATAGATCCATTGGTAAGTGAAGTATGTATTAGCGACAAATTTTTTTGACATATTTTTCTTTTGGTAAGTGAAATATGCATTACCGATGATTTTTTTTTTGTTAATAAGTGAAATATACATACCAACAAATTTTTTTGTCCATAAATGAATAATGCATTACCAACAAATTTTTCTGACACATTTTTTTGTGGATAAATGAAATATGTATTAGTTATTAATTTATCGATGACTTTTTCTGTCGATAAGTGGAATGTATGTTACTGATAGATTTTACTGACAAACTCTTTTGTTAGTAATGAATTCATCGATAAAATCTATAAGTAATTAAAATTTTAAAATCTTTCGACTAAATCCATCAGTAATTCAAATCTAATGATGAATTTATTTTTGCTGGTAAAATTCCATTAGTAATTTAAAAAGTTTTCGTAGTGATACATTTAATGGAAAATAAATTTCTAGAAAAATATAATAAGATTAGGAAAAGACTATCAAGGTGGAATGGAGAAGTTTGTATCCTTTTGTGGAGAGAATATTTACAAAATCAGTCATCACATATCCATGCCATGTAAGGCATCAACTATTGCAAATCTTGATAATGAAAGGATTCGGATAAACTTTCTATGGCGTTGGGATCACGAGGGTCCGCTTGGAGTGAAACTAAGCTATTTAATAATGCTCTGTTAGCAAAGTGGAACTCGAGGCTTGGTAGTGAAAGACAATGCCTATGAAAAGACATATAATATTCAAAATATAGGTATTAGAGAAATTTAATTGGAAGAAATAATACCAAGTTTCGTCTTGGTGAGGAGGTAAGGAAGGCAGTTAATTTGATGAGCATGGATAAGTTGAAGATGAAGAATAAGGTTCCAAGAAGACACATGGTTAAATTCTTGAAAGCAATAATAAAAGTTAGCTAGTGCAGGGAGTTATGTGGATGGATAAATTAATAAAAGAGAATGATTTGAAGAGAAAAACCTCAATATCTTAGCACAATTTGATAAACAAAAGTAAAGAAGATGAATGAATGTGGTAAGATGTGTAGACGAACCAAGATACTATTTGTTTCAGATAATTTAGAGATGTATATAATTTAATCTAATGAAAATGAATGTTAAAGGAAACAGGGTTTGGAGGTGCACGTGGATAACGTTCATTAGAAATATATGAAACCATAGAAATAATGTGATATTTAAGAATGGTAGGGTAGATATGCAAAATAGATTTTTTGTACAACACATAAAAGTTTAGGCCCCAAAGTCGGCTTCACATACTTAGATTGGTGCTTGGGTCTCGTATAAACTTTGATTGAAATTCTCGCCTTCTTCTCACCTGTCTTCAATGGATTTAATAAGCCATATTTAGTTGGATTTTGTAAGAGTTTTTAATACCCATTTTATTGAATAATTCAAAAAAAAATATTAATTATACGAATTTTATCATAATCAGAGTCTAAAAAAAATTAACAAGAATTTTATAACTTATTTTATTGACAAAATAAATTACTGAAAAATTCAGTTATTAGCAAATTTTATGACATTTATTTTGGAAGGAACTCATCCCAAAGTCGAAATAAAATACAAGACCTTTAATATCCATTTATGAACAAATTATTGACTAATCTATTACTAATGAAAATATGTATAAATAGTCTAAAAATTCGAAATTACACAATTTATTATCAATAATAAAAATTTAAAAATTTACTGATGAAATTCATTAATAAAATTGAATTTTTATCTATTAGTGAGATTCTACGGAGTTCTTTAAACATACACGCTCAAATTAAAAGACTAAAACCATTTTCAATTCGATCCTCTCAGTTAAAATATCCTTTATATTGTTTAGGAAAAATTTTAAGTAAAAACTTTTTAACACAAAATATGTAGCATGCTTAAAACTTAAAGCTTCATATATTTCTCTTTAATTGCTGTACTCCTGTCATTACATAAGTGATCACCAATTTTTGTCAATATATTTTTTGATACATATTTTATTTTCAAATTATTTATATTATAAATGTTTGTCACTAATTCTCTTTTGGTGCAAAATATATAGAAATAACATGTTTTTGTCGCAAAATCTATCACAGCTATTTCCTAATTATTAGCATTTGTTACTATTTATGATTCATTATTTATAATAAAGAAAAAAGTTTTTGGTAGTGCCACATGTAAATTAATTCATAAGGAGGGTTACAATAAAATAAAAGTGGTATCTTTCATTCACTGGGAAAAATAGGGTAAACAATATAAATTCCTGTCATTAGGAAAGTTACAGTGAATAACGAACATTATTTGGTAACATTTTTTTCACTAATAAAAATTATATATTATTGCATACTGCATCAATAAATTTTGGGAAGGCATGTTTTGTTAAGGATTTAAATAAATTGATTTGAATAAATTAAGCTAGTTACTTAAGACTTTGTATAATTTTCTTTCGACCAGTAAGGTTTTATCCTTTTTACATTTTTCACATTATTTTTTTTCCCTTGTCTTTCAAGAAATGGAGAAGAAGCATTATTCTGTATTCCACAATGCATAAAAATACTAGTTTAGAAAAAAAAATTTCATCACTAAATTTTTTTAATACAAAAAAACTCTTAAATAATAATTAATTTTTGTGATAAAAATATATTTAAAGATCAATTTTATAATTAAAAATAATTTTTTTATAATCTTGATAGTTAATGTTAGGAATCAATTTGTAATAAAAAATAATTTAATTATTAATTTAGAAATTAATTATAATTTTTTTAAAACTATTTTAATTACTAATAATTTTTAGTTTATAAATTATATCTCAAGAGATTATTTATTTTTTGTTACTAAATTTAATTTTCTTGTAAGAGTCATAAAACCAGACAAATTTAATAGTTTTGAAGGATTGCTTTTGGACCAATCAATGATTGAATAAGTTTAAACACAAGGAAGAAAATGAGAGGAGAAAGAGAAAGAAGAGTGTCTAGATTCAAAATCAAAAGCAAATTCTTGAAGAAGCCGAAGGATTTTCAAAGGGTGAGAGAGTTTATAAATCGTACTATCAATAACACTCAACTGCTACATACAAAACTTTGTCTGTTGCATTGATAATTTTGAACATCTCAAAATCATTACATATCATTTTGACTTGCAAACAGTTTAAAGATTCAACAAATGGAAGAATTGAATGAGCCAAATGTTGCATTAAATGACATGTGTGGAATGCCTCCCAGTCTTACCTGGCTTAGACACCCAATGATGGAGACATATTGCGTGTTCTTCCATCAAAATCCAATTCTAGTTATTCCTGCAATGATCTGAAACATCAAT